GCATGTCCATCCCCATCTCACACGTACCTTCTCCTTCTGCATCCCACACTCCACCCACATCACATTTCCACCGAGTACAAAACCTTACTTCTTATCTTTAAATTTTCAGATCAAGTTATAGAATAAACACAGGCTACTTACTACTTTCTAGTATCAATCAAAAACTATTTATTAAATTATAAAAATGTATTTCTGTAGCAAGGTGATCTCTTAGAAAATATCTTTTTTTTTCCAAAACGTATTGTATTTGTATGGAGTGTTTTACAGATGCCCACAGAGGTCAGAAGACAGTGTCAGATCCTCTGAAAGTGAAGATACAGATGTTTGTGGGCTACCATGTTGGTGCTAGGAACTGAACCCAGGTCCGCTGCAAGAACAGCAAGTGTTCTTAACCACTGAGTCATTTCTCCAGGACTAGAAAAAAACCTTAATAACTGATTAAAGTTAGTCTGGTCAATATTCATACCATCCAATATCATACGCCTCTAGGTAAAATTCAATGAAAAGCACACATCAACAACTATCTACTATGCTCGGCCAAAAAATTTTAACCTGCATCCATTCAGGAGGAAAGGACCAAATCTAATTATAGAACATGCAATAAGACTGAGACTTCAAAAAGGTCAAAGTCATGGGGAAAAAAAGAATCCAAAGAGACCATTACATATTAAAAGATGATATAAGGACATAAGATGTGATAAGTTATAACATGTGATCCTTAATTAGACCCATGACGGAAATTTTAAAAGAAAAAAATGAGGCTTTTATAGAACAACTGGAGAAACTGGTCCATGAACCGTGCTATGGCTTGAATGTATCCCATAAGTTTACTGCTGAGGATCTGGTCCCCAAAGCAACAGAACCGAAAGCAAGGCCTTGAAGAGAAATGAGGTCGTAAGGAGTCTAGAGGGTCTAGCAAAAGCATTATCACAGCCGCACAGTGCTTCGTACCGAGAGCGGTTTGTTATGAAAATGAGTTCACTCCTCCTGCTCTCTGCAATCTCTTGTCCACCTGGCTCCAACCACACAGTAAAAGGGGAAGGTTCTCACCACTGCCTCTTGATCTGACAGTCCCCACACTCCAGGACCCAAGCCATATCAATTTCTTTATGAATTACCCAGCCTCTGGCTTTCAGTTATAGGCGCTGCAAGCAGACTAATAAGGACTATATTAAATAGGATATCTAGTGATGATTGATTCTTGAATCATGGCAGCATTGTGGCTACACATAAAAGGGTATTTAACCTTAAAAGACAGATACAAGTAAGTGTTCAAGTTAAAATTTATACTTAAAACATTATCTTTATTATTTTCAACCTGATTTAAAAATAAGAATCATTAATTATTTGCTCCTTTTCCCAAATTTTGGTACTTAACAAAAACTGTGACACAAAGATCAGCTTAAAGATTTTACATGATATATATATGTGTGTGTGTATTTCATATGACATATAAGATGTATATATATCTGTATATCATATATATTTATATATGATAGTCACATACACATCTCAAAGGCTTAAAAACAGGTATACAAGTGAATATCAGACCCTGAAATTCTGTCTCCAACATGAACTCTCCTCAACAATACCCATAAGCATCTAATGACCCACTGGGCATCTCCACAAAATCAGGGAGTCAAGCAAAACATTATATTTTCCACTCTACCCCCATCACCAGTTCATACTCCAGAATGTTCTCTCTATTATTCTCCCAATAGGTCCAGTTCAAAAACTCAACAGCCTCTTCACCTTTCCTTATATATCCAGCTACTCAAGAATATGCCAAGTCAGTAGTATCCATGGAAATAAAAGAACAGAGATTTTGGAAAGCACATAGGAGAAATATAGTCCACTTTGGACTGGATATTTGTGCTCCCCCCTCTCATTCTTACATTGAAACCCTAATACTGGACGTGATAGTACCTGGGAGGTAGATAAAGTCATGGAGAACCTGAACTGTGTTAGGATGTGGCAAGAAGGCTGCATCTTCAAGGCAGAAAGAGGCTCTGACCAGGAAATTAATTAGCACTACCCAAATCAAACTACTTCTTAGACTCTGAAACTATGAAAAATAGATTTCTCTTGTTTAACCCATCTTGTCAAGGAGACTGTTAAGAGAGGCTGAACAAAAATAGTTTGGAAAACTCACTAAACAGCAGCCAAAAAAGGAAACAAAAATCATTTGAAGAAATATGGCTAGAACTCTACTTTGATGAAAGATATAAAATATAAGTGATGTTTTGAATGAGAATGTCCCCATGGCTCATTTACTTGAATGCTTGGTCTCCATTTGGTGGCACTGTTTCGGAAGGATTGGGAGGTGTGGCCTTGCTGGAGCAGGTGTGTCACTGGGGTGGGCTTTGAGGTTTCAAAAGCCCATGCTGTTCCCAGTTAGCTCTCTCTGGGCCTCGTCTCGTACTTGTGGACCAAATGGAAGCTCTCAGCTACTGCTCTAGAGCCTGACTGCTGCCATGCTCCCCACTGTGATGGTCTTAGACTTACAGCCCTCTGGAGCCCTCAGCCCCCAAATTAAATTTTTTTTGAAAGAAAGCTTTTCTAAGTTGCCTTGGTCATGGTATTTTGTTGCAGCAATAGAAAAGTCACTAAGAAGCAGCTGGTGCCAGCAGCGGGACACAGCTGTGAAATCCTGGCCATGCTGGGTTGTTTGGAGGAGTGTGTTAGACTCTGAACAAGGAAGGAGGTTGAACACGTGAGCGCAGCTTAATGGGCCAGTCTAAAAGGAGCTTGAAGATAACAGCGCTGAGAGCAATGTGGACTATGGAGCCCAGCTCAAGAGGTTTCAGAGGGGAACAATATTAGGAGCTGGGCTAGAGATCACTCTTGTGATATTTTGCCAAAGAAGGTGTTTGGGTTTTGCCCTTGTCTAAGAATCTGCCTGAGGCTAAACTGGAGTTCTGGACTAATTTCACTGCCAGAGAATATTTCAAGACAGCCTAATATCAACTCTGTTGCATGGTTATTAGTAATCACTCCTACGCAGATCTACAACAAAAAGAGAGCAAGCAGGAAAAAAAATTAGAAAATGTATAGTTTTGGAAGAAAAAGAACACCAGGAAATTTGATGTTGAAGCCTTGGTTTGTGCTAGAAGAAATAAGGAAAAATGGAATAAAGGGAGCGGTGTCCTCAGGACAAGACCCCACCCAGCTAATTTGTGAAAGAAAAAAAAAAAAACAGGCCTACAGAATTATCTGTTCCTAGAGAGCAACAACAAATCAAAACTAATGCAAATATGATTCAAGGAGTGGGCTGGGTTCCAACCCAGGGAGGCAGTAGAACCTGGCAGCATCACCCATGTGGTTCTGGCCTTAGAGTTAAAGGAGTCAGGAGTAAAGAGACCTTGCACTCTTCCTCTGAGGTTAAAAAAGCTGCAGGGGCCAGGGGTGTGGCAGGGGAGTTCCTGCATGGAGACTCAGAGAGGCCACTATGAGAAGCTGTGAAAGCGAAGCCTGGATGTACTGGAGACCCCAAGAGGTTGGAGGTATCAAAGCTGTGGCACACCTGCCAAGGAAAACTGCTAACAGCAATGGAACCAGCCCAAGAGAGAAGGAACTGACAGTCAACAAAACTGGAAAGAGCAGGAGACCTGAGGAACTGTCTAAGCCCTTTGATGACAGACATAGAGATACAGGATTTAGAGTCTGCCCTACTGGGTTTCTGTCTTGTATTGGTCCAATATTTCTTCACTATGCCCCATTTCTCCCTTCTGAAATGGTAATGCATACTCTGTGCCAATGTATGTTGGAAGCATGTAATTTGGTTTTTGCTCTTACAGGGGGTTACAATTAAAAGACTGCCTTTAGTCTCAGAAGAGACTTTGGAATTTGGATTTTTTTTTTTTTTTTTTCGTTTTTCGAGACGGGGTTTCTCTGAGTAGCTTTGCGCCTTTCCTGGGACTCACTTGGTAGCCCAGGCTGGCCTCGAACTCGCAGAGATCCGCCTGGCTCTGCCTCCCGAGTGCGGGGATTAAAGGCGTGCGCCACCACCGCCCGGCGGAATTTGGATTTTTAAACTGTGTTAAGACTTTGAAACACTATGGAGACTTTTGAAGTTGGACTAAATCCATTTTGCATTATGATATGGCTATAAGCCTAGGGGACCAAGGAATGGAATATAGTGGTTTGAATGAAATGGCCCCATAGGCTCATCTATTTGGTCCTCAGGTGGTGGAACTGTTTGGAAAAAATTAGTGTGGCTTTACGAGAGGAGGCGTATCACTGTAGATGGGCTTTGTAGCCCCTTCTCTCTGCATCCTGCTTGTGAACCAGACGTGAGCTCTCAGCCATGGCTCCAGTGCTCTGCCTCCCTGCTGTCATGCTCCCCACCATGACGGTCATGGACCACAGTCCTCTGGGATGCTGAGCCCCAATTAAATGCTTTCTTCTCTAAGTTGCTTTGGTTGTGGTGTTTTGTTAGAGTGACAGAAAAATAACTGAGACACTATATATTTAAGAATCTCAACCAGCCGGGCGGTGGTGGCTCACGCCTTTAATCCCAGCACTCGGGAGGCAGAGGCAGGTGGATCTCTGTGAGTTCGAGGCCAGCCTGGTCTACAGAGCAAGGTCCAGGAAAGGCGCAAAGCTACACAGAGAAACCCTGTCTTGAAAAACCAAAAAAAAAAAAAAAAAGAATCTCAACCATTGCCAAGCAAGACAACTAAAAGAGACCTGTACCAATACACACTACACAACACTACATAAATGAACCATACCTCTCATCAACCAAACAAGCAACCTTGGAGAAGGGAACATCTTGATTTCCAGAGTTATTACCTTACAATATTAAAATTGCCCAATTCTCAACAAAAATTGTAAAGCCCACATGTACACACATGCATGTGTGTGCCATACAGCCCATTCACGTGGAAGATAATTAACAAAAACAAGTCCCTGATAGTGAAGACACTAGACATACCAAAGACTTAAACTGACTGCCTTTTATTGTTTTTATTTATTATTATTATCATTATTTTATTTTTAAGGGGAAAGCATGAACACAATCCCCCATGACCACAAATTATGCAATCAAGTTTCCCACATTTGGGGAAATCGCAGAGATTAGCACATCTGTAGTGCAATGGATAAGCCTTACCCTGGGAAAACCACTTTCATGACCAGGGTATCTCCCCTGTCAGGTAAGTATTAAAAGTTAACTGTCTTAAGTATGCTCCAAAAGTGAAGGAAATTACTTAAAAAAAAAACAAACTCTAAGAGAATCCCAGCACTTGGGAGACAGAGGCAGGCAGAGCTTTGTGAGTTCGAAGCCAGCCTGGTCTGCAGAGTAAGTTCCAGGACAGCCTGGGCTGCACAGAGAAACCTGTCTTGAAAAACAAAACAAAAAAACTAAGAGAAAACAATGGATGAAAATTTAGGGAATATTAATTATAAAAAGGTACCAAATAGAAATTGGGGGGCTGGGAAATAAGGAAATTTTACAATTCTTAGAAAACTTCAACAACAAACTTGACTAGGGAGAGAAAAGAATCAGTGAATTTGAATATGACACAATTAAAATGACCTAGTCTGGGAAGCAAGAACAATAAAGGAAGAATGAAACTATGTATCTATGACCCGAATGGGGAGAGGCAGGCAGGGGAATGACTGTAAACTGGAGAACTTCCTAGTCCGCCCGGCAAGGTTGAGGCCAATCAGGGTTTCATAGCAAGGTTCCATCTTTTTAGAAAAGTAGAGGATGGAGGAGGGGGAAGGGATGGGAAAAGGAACCGTAGACAGAGAAGTAGACAGAATCTAAGGAACCTGTAACAACTGACTCACAAAAATCTCAAGAAGAAAAAGAAAAGGGAACAAAAAACACTTAAAATTTATGGCTAAAAAGTCTAACTTTGATGAAAGACTGTGAACCTACATACCTAAGAATTTCAACAAATCCCAAGTGGAATAAATTAAGAGAGCTACACTAAAACACACTATATTCAAAGCAGTGAGAGACAAATTGAAAATCATGAGAGAAGCAAAGCCAGACATGTTGGCACAAACATGCAATCACAGCATGCTGGAGGGTGAGGCGGGGGATCAGAATTCTAAGGTTAGCCTGGGATGTACAGCAAGATCCTTTCCCCAGGGTAGGGAAGGTACAACCAATCAGATAACAGATCTTCTAGAAGAGATCCTCCATGAGACTGGCAGGTTCTCCTCAGAAACCATGGCAACTAGACAGTAAGGGAGGATGATATATTTACAAGGCTAAAGCGGGGAAAAAATACTCAATCAGGAATTCCACAGTGAACAAACCACACTTCAAAAATGGAGCAGAAATTTAAAAATTAATCAGAAAGTCAAGGAAGTCTGCTGCTAGTAGCTGACAAGGCATGATGGAAAAAAAATGACCTTCATGCTGAAATCAAAGAACAGTAGTTGGTAACTCAAACATATATAAAGAAATATAGGGTTTCTAGTAAGGCAAAACAATACCTAAATATAAACACTGTATTGTTGCTTTGTAACTCCACTTTGTTTCCTATGACATAATGGACAATCACATGAATTTATAAACACACTGGTTTGTAGCGTGAGTTCCAGGAGAGCCAGGGCTACACAGAGAAATCCTGTCTCGAAAAAACAAACAAACAAACAAACAAACAGCTCTTGTATAAAAGCTGACAGGGATGTAAACTATCTTCAAAAGCAGCGTCTTAGCACGTTAAACTTACATCAGCCACACCCTACCGATCCCAAATTACCACCAAGAAGAAAGAGAAAGAAAATACATATTCCTACTAAGACATGTATACAGATGTTCAAAGTATCATTATAATAGCAAAAGGATGAAACCAAACTATCCATCAACCCGTTAATTTTAAAGAGTGCTACATCCACAAAGGAACATTCAATAATGAAAAGAAAGAAATATTGATACACAGATACACATAAACATGAGCTCAAAATGACTGTGCTCAGTGGAAGAAGTAAGAGCACATACAAATAAGGACACTGATTAAAAGTTCTAGAAAAAGAGCTGTCATAGTTGGTTAGAGAAAACACAGTACTAGCTGCCTAGGGTCTCTGGTGCAGGAGAAACTTTGGTGGACACTGGAAATGTTTGGTTTGTTCACACAGACATAAATGCAGCATGAATACTTCTGATGCAACTTAAGTTCCAAAAGCAAACAGGACTGCACTGAAGCATAACAGCAGTGTCTTCATCTTTCTGCTTCTATTCTCCCTGCCATCTCTCTATCCTAGACCTCTCTTCCACCATCCTCGTTCCTTTTGTATTTCCACAGCATCTGTCCATACAAAATAACTTTATTTTATTTATAACCATTTCAATCTTACCTGAGAATATGGATTCCAAAGGCACAGTCTATAGTTCAAAGTCCTCAGGCATCCTAATTGTATTTTCCCAAATGATGAAATAGAAAAACCCTATGTATCAAATCTAAACCCTGGGACAGACGCCAGGTGTGGTGCTGCATGCCTGTAAAACTCTAGCATTTAGGGGGCTGAGGAAAGAGAATCCCAAGTTCAAGGCCAGTCTGTGAGACCCCATCTGAAACAACAAAAAGCAAACACAAAAATCGTACACTACAAAATATGGAACACTACAAGACAAATAATTCTATCTTCAACTAACCGATATCAGAGGACAGTGGGAAAACAGAAAGGAAAGGTAATATTAACAAATAAAAGAGACATAATTTAATGTGATCCTTGCTTAGATGCTATTTAAACAAAGCAAATGTAGAACGATACCTGTGAGTCAACAGAGAAAAGGCAAACAAGGACCACACACTCTGCAACGTTTAGTGTTATTCATCCACTGAGTGCAGTAATAGTATGGTATTTTTTATGCTCATCAGATGAATAGCAAAGCACTGATTGGCAGGCATGCTCTTAAAGAAGCCTAATGGAGCCAGGAGCAGTGGTGCACAGCAGTGGTGCACATCCTGTAACCCTGGCACTGGACAGGCAAGGGCAGAAGGATCATTGAGTCTGGGGCCAGCCTGTGCTATACAGTGAGTGCCTTGTTCAACATTTTTAAAGATAAAGTTAAAATAAAATTAAAACCTCTATACTACCATAAAAAGAGCTAAGTAAAATAATCTGAGCAAAATATTGGTAATATGGGCATGCTACCATGTATCTGTCATCAATGTTTTATAACTTAATTTTTTATTATTTTTTTATTTTTGAGATTATCATATAATTATATCACTTTCCTTTCCTTTTCCTCCCTCTAAACCCTTCCAAATACCCCCTCCTTTCTTTCCTGTAAATTTATGGCCTCTTCTGATTAACTATAACTTAAAGTTTTTGAGAAAAGGTTCATAATACCACGAGACTGAGCTTCTAATGGTATTAGATGTATCTCATTTCATCCTATTTCAAGATTAATTAACAGTGGCTATCACACAGGAAATACTAAATGGACCTTTTCCCAAAACTGTTTAGTCCTAAAAATCACTAGCAAGCCAGGCAGTGGTGGCACATGCCTTTAACCCCAGCATTGAGGGGGGGGGGGGGCAAGGAGCTTCTGCTTGCAAGCAGGCAGATCTCTGAGTTCTAGGCCAGCCTGGTCTAGCTCTAGGACAGCCAAACAACACAAAGAAGTCCAGTCTCAAAAAGAGAGAGAGAGAGAGAGAGAGAGAGAGAGAGAGAGAGAGAGAGAGAGAGAGAGAGAGAGAGAGAGAAAAGGAAGGAAGGAAGGAAGGAAGGAAGGAAGGAAGGAAGGAAGAGAAAAACAAACAAAGAATTGCAAAATAAATCACTAGCAAGTAACTAAATTATCTGGATGCCTCAGCATTACCATGATCCTTAGTTACAATCCAAGGTGTCTTGGGAGAGGGATCAGTGTGCGAAGAACTTGCTGCACAAGCATCAGAACCTGAGTCTTGATCTCTAGAACAGTATGTAGAAGCTGGGTGATAAAGAGCAGAGACAGAGGAGCATGTGGCTGGCTGGCCAGCCAGTCGAGCTGAAACAGCAAGTTCCAGCTTCAGTGAGAGACTCAGTCTCAGAGAACAAGGTGAAGAGTAAGCAAGGAAGATAGGATGTAGTTCTCTAGTCTCCTTAAGTACATGCGCAGTGAGCATGCCTGCACACCACAAGTACACATGCATACACCACACATACTAAATAATTATCTTCTTTAAAGAGTGGTCAGTCCACTCTATCATACTATCAAGGCATTATATCTCTCGGCTCACTGATTTAAAAACATTTTTCATTAATTGCTCGATTCCACATGCTGGCAATACAGGACTAGGATCAGACTAGCAAATGCAATCAGGATTTTGAAAATCAAGATGACAACTTGATTTCAAAGCCACTGGGTGAGGAGGCTGGAGGCATGTCTCAGCTGTTAAGAGCATGAGATGCCTGAAAAGAGGACCTGGGTTCAGCTCCCAGCTCCCATGAGGCAGCTCCCAAACCTAGGTAACTCCAGTTCCGGGGGCTCTGATACCAGGTCTGCACGTGGTGCAGACATACATCCAGACCAAAAGCTCACGAATATAAAATCAACGAATCTAAAGAAGGAGGAGGAGGGAGGCAGAGCCACCGTCTGAGGTGTCTCCCTAGGTGGCACCGATCACAATCCTGTTCAAAGTGCCAGCAACCTGCAGCTCCGTCACCCCGACAGCTCATCAAGATGAGGACACCAGGAGAAAGAAAGCAGCTTCTTCTGACAGCGGGTCTCTACTCCAGACACTGCAGCCACCTCCTCGGATGTGAGAGAACTCCCTATGAGCCTGAGGGCTACAGACAGGCACAAAGACGGTACAGCAAGGCTGTAACAACTCACACCAAAGTAAGGCACAATAAGTCAATTACCATAGAGAATGGAACACCGAAGGGATGAGGTAAACATCAACGTGATTTTTACTCAGCAATCATATATTAAAGGTTGCCTTAAGACGGGGGCTGGAGCACTCTGGAGGCAGAGGCAGGCCTGGTCTACAGAGATAGTTCCAGGACAGCCAGAGCTACAAAGAGAAACCGTGTCTCCAAAAAAAGGGGGGGGGGGGGCTGGGGGCCAGAAAGATGGCTTAACAGTTAGGAGCACTTACTCCTCTTCCAAAGGACCTGGGTTTGGCTGTCAGGGCTTCTGACCTCTATGGTCACCAGGCACGCATGTGGCACACATACATATATGTAGGCAAACACTCTTCCACACATAAAATA